CCAAGGCTAACTGGAGATGGGAGACTGGAGTTCAGTGCTTTATTGCGAATCCGAAGACATAATGGGACTGTTGGGCTCGCCCATGGTAATCTTTTCCAGTATGGTACTGTCCAGGAATATGAATTGGTTTTTAAAGTTTGTACTTTTTGCTTCTTTCTAGCATTGACCATTTGATCTTCAGTTATGGTTCATTTCTTTGGTGAATATTTTGGTAGGCAGAACAATGTCCCATTTTAGTTGCGAGCAGAAATATGCTAAGCTGTACCTGATTTTCTGAAATCTTGGTTGCCTTTGGAAATGAACATATAAGGCTTGCCTTCCTCTGTCTGCCTTTCCAGGTGGAGGCCTTTGCCTTTCAAATCCTAGCTCAGGGCTGAAGGTGTATCTCAGACACAGACTTGCATTAACTCAATTCACACAAGCCAGAGCACAAACCGGATGCCAGTTCGTTCTTCTGTAGCAGGGACTGTCCCTTCTTCAGACCTAAAATGCACCCTCCACTCCAGGGTTGGGAACAGAATAGCAGAATATTAAGTACATGGGGTCAGGAGCCAGGCTGCCTGGATTCAAGTCCCAGCCGTACATTTTAATGTAAGCTCTCTTGAGTTTCAGTTTTCCTCATTAACAAATTTGGGATAATAACATTGTGGTGAAGGTAATGATTTAATACACGTAAAGAACTTAGAACAGTGCATGGAATAAATTAAGCACCTAATGAATGTTAGTAATAACAACTCTTTAAAAAAAAAAAGACTTGCCTTTCAGTGCATTTAGCTATTTTCACTTTGAATGCCATTTCATTATTTGAGTGTCGAACAGTGTGGCACTTTATCATTGTTTTAAACCACCAATGTGTATCTTAAAGTTACTGCTCTTTTGAAAGATACTTTTTGCTAAATGTCAGCCTTGGAACACTGATGAGACTTGGTTTAATTTATTTAGGCATGTACATTTTGGTCACACTTTTAAGCAGTGCTTGTTTCTTGTGCTCTAGGAAGGATTCGGGCATATCTTTTCTTTTGATCAGACATTCTGTGAGACTGTGTCCAGATGTTATACATTTGAGTAGATAGCTTTGGCAGCATGTGCTTTATTGCACTGCCTTTAAAAAAAAACTTCATAATTTTAAAGAAATGTAAGAATCATAAAATACACTTTCTAAATAATCTTTATAAGATTAGATATTTTTTCTCTTTAAAATTAGAAACATGGTGAAATCTGACTGGAAAAATTTAAATATTAGATCAGGCTTTATGAAATTGTTAATGTTTGTTAGCTTTTTGAGCTACAGAAATGACTTTGGGGTCATCCTAACAGATCTTTGAAATTAAGCTCTGTCTCTGATAACCCAAAGTGGTCAGCACTGACTCCGCTCCTGGTCCTTCCCTCACAGCTTTCAAAAAAACTCCTGCATCTTAGATGTTACTTTTGTTCCAACTGTTGCCTCTTCCTAAGAAGGGCTTTCTGCTTCCCAGGGCTGTGGCTACCCAGTTCTTTAGCCCTGAAAAGAGCTTTTGTTTATTAGAAGTCTGTGGCTGAGATCCAGCAAGTGGGAGGAGAGCCTGTGGCTGCCAGAGGCTTCTTCGGTTCCCTTTGGCAGGGGCAGACCCTCGGTCTACGAGAGCACCTCTTCCTTCTGCCATTAGAATGAACCTAGACATTCATTTCTATCTTAAAAGGGTGTAATTTATCCCTGGTGTTTGTGCAAGAGCTCCAAAAGCTCTTTATTAAATAAAGCTCCTAACTTGTAGTAGTAGCCTCCTTGAACTCAAACCAAAGCAACTCAAGTACAGGTTTTGAGGTAGCAGTGGTTTGATTTTGCTAAAGAAACTTCCACTTGCCGAAGACTTGTCTCATCTCACTTCGCTGTGCTGTGATGCAAACCACTGTAAGATCCTTTTTGTAGTAAGTTACAGAGGTCTTTTCCCCCCCATTCTCAAGGAAGATATAAATAAATGTAAGTGTGGTTCTTACTAAAAAGAAATGTGAAAGTGTTCCCCACTTTATTCTGCTGCCTTACATGGTCAAGTGCTTTCAGAACACTTAGAAGACTTGCATCCAGTGATGGATTTAGAAAATGTCCTGTGTATTTGAAGGCATAGCTGGATGGCAGTGCCCTCTTGTGGGGAAAAAAACACATTGCTGAGATTTAAGCAAGCATGAAATAAGCAAGGATTTTTAAAATTTCTCTGAAAAATCTGCATGTATGAGCTTACGTTACACAAAATACTTTTTCCTCTAGAACCCATTATTGCTATTTATTTCTAACCTCTTCCACGTTTTCAAAGTAAAAAAGTATAGTGAGGGTGGTGGTGAAGGTGGTCGGGTGTAAAGAGTTCTTGCTCCAGTTCCTGGGTGGGGGAAACATTGGTTAAGAGTTTGAAATTTTTTTTTTTGAGCAGCTGATGGCAGATATTTTTAAAGAAATTAGTATAAACAATTCCAAATCAAGTTTTTAAAGTGTATTCCTTATAAAAGCTCATTCTGGCAGTGTAATCTTTCTTAAAGAATATTCTTTAGGCTGAGAGGAGCAGAGGTCCTTTCAGGTACTTGAGTCTTATCTAGTGATAAAGTATAAATCACATTCCATTTTTGCAGTAATGTACCATTGTGCCTGGGGGTCCACAGAGCAGCATCTGAGTCCCGGCTCTTCTGCTCAGCCCTGGTAGACTTGGGTGAGAGATTTCACCTCCTCACCCCCAGTGGCTACGGTCGTACCTTTGTTCCAAGATTGTAAGGGTTAACTGGGGAATGTGTGTACCTGGCACATAAATAAGTTTTCCAAAAATAGTAGCAAGAATGATGCTGCTTATCAGATTTTGCTCTTGCTATAAAAAATTTATTTTTTTTCCTGTAATTATTTCCTATTTAGTTTTGTTAAATTAGTGCTAATGGGTTAAATGGGGTCCTGGGACTTAGGGACAGCTGTGCCTGAAGGCGAAATCTTGAACCAGCATGGACATTTTACTGGAGAGGGCTCACTCTGAATTTTCAAAAGGACATTTCCCCCTGGATTTTAGTTTAAAGAATTTGATGTAGTATGTTCTGTGATCTACTGACATTATGTTAAAACTTTCCTAAGCATTTTATTTTAGGCATATGTGATTCAATTTTAAAGTATACAATGTTTAACAATCATATTTAACAAAACTGACTTGTTAGTATTTTGAAACATGTTTCATTGATGGTCAGAGTTTAAAATATCTTCATTTTTAAATGCTATAATGTATAAATATAACAATAAATATAATGTACCAGTAACAAATATGTTGTATATTTGTGCATGAAACACTGGCTCACCCAAACCAGTAGCCCACCCATCCCTGAGGGGAGGTCTTGGGAGTGCCCACAGCCCTGTGCTATCCAGGAACGCCCTTTCTGGAGCCCAGCCATTTGGTTTCCCTGCTGGGTCTGTCGTGTCGGGCTTTTGGTTGTAACTTTTTCTCATAGCTGAAACTCTGATTTTTTTTTCCCCCTCTATTAATTCGTAACCTTCCAAAGGCTTTGGGGGTCTACCTCCGTAAACATGACAGTGTTGGCAGTCTCTGGCTGTGATTCGGATGAGATGAGAAGGGATGGAAGAGGCGATTAGCCTGGCTGTGCTCTAGCCCAGCAGTGCTCTGGGCTGTGGCCACCTTTCAGCACAGATCTCTGTTGACAGCCTCTGCCCTCCTTCCCTGTCCGCCCTGCTCTCCCGCCCCAGCTCCCTGTGCTGGGTCTCTGTGAGATTAAAAAGATTACAAGAAAGTGTTCTGTTTGGGTGTGTAGGTTTGACTGCATTTCTCAGTTCTCAGTGCAGTTGTTTAAAAATTCAGCTTTTAGGATTCATTGGTGGAAAGCCAGTAAGGATTAATGAGAGGGCTGAATTAGAGAATATTTTTAATGCAGTTTTGTTCCTCTGAGGTACATTCAGTAACAGAAACTAGGCCAACAAGTTATTGACAATTAGTGGTCCTTTGGGAGTCTGCTTTAATGAATAGATAAGAATGATTTGTAATTAGCATAATAATTATATGCAAATGCATGCTTCTGAATTGCTCTAAAACACTTCTGAACTGTTTAAACGGCCCTCCTGAGATCTTGTTACTCTATTAATTTGTGTAGCAAATCTTTTTTTCATAGATCATGCAAAGATAAACTTCAGTCCAGCCCCTGTCCGAATTATTATGAATTCCAAGGTGGTAGGACCTGAATTAATGAGATTTACTTATACTATATTAATGGTACTCTGTGGGAACCTGAAAGGGTGAGGAGTCACTGGGGAGATGTAATTAAAAATAGAAAAGAAAGCTGCTTATTTGAAAATAACTGTTGAAATGAGTTTCTTAAACAAGTTAGTAAATGTTATTTCTCTTTACACCTCTGTTACTTGCTATTGCAAAATTTAATGCAAACTTTTTTTTTTTTAATGGGCTTTTCCCTTTGGAGTCTGGCTTAAGATTTTCAGCTCAGTTAGTTATGCACGAAGGTCAGCGGTGATAGGATCTAGGAACTCCTTTTTTCCAAATGCCACAGGACTGAAAAATTCAGGGCAGTGCTAATAAAAGCTGTTTGTTATTTATCTTCATATTTAATTCAGTCTTTTCCCTTAGCCTCATCTTCACTTTTAGGATGTGATTGGAGGAAATGAACTTCGTTAAGTTGAGTGGTAGTACCTGTGCACCTTAAACTTAGTGATTACCTTTGAGCTGTTTGAATAGATACCTATTTAATCATCTTACGCCAAAGGAAAGCAGGCTACAGGATCCTAACGTCTCTGTCCAGTTTTCCTGTTTACCATGTAGAGTTGTTTCTCTTTCCCGCGGTGGGGGGGGGTTGGGGGTGACCTGGTGGGTGCTGTTTTATAAGCAGGTGTTGAGGAGTTGCTAACACAACATGTGGGTTGGGTGCTCTTTTCCTTGGTTTACCTGAGCCTCACCTGTGGTAACCGAGACACAGTTCTTTAAACAGTTTCTGGTATTGGAGCTTATCTTGATTTTTCCACAAGCTGTCAAGAAACACCAACCATCCTGCCCCCGCCGCCTACTCATTTCCCCATTCATAATCATGAGTTCAGTATGGGCTCAAGGACGTTTGGGTTGGCTCAGCACAGATTTCTGTACTTGCATTTTGGGGGACAGCCACTATGCTAAAAGATTCATAAAACTCTTATTCTTTGTCTCCAAAATGAATCTGGTTTCTGTTGAGAGTTTCTATTGAGAGCTGTAGTGAGTAACAGATGTACACCCAAGAGGTAGCACAACTTTTGTATTCCAGTGACAGAAAACAGTTATTTATAAGAATTTAATGAATGTATTCTGTGGCTCCAGCATGGAGACTCAGTAATCCATTTATTTACCATAGTATATTTTATTTGTTCTCCAAGAGTGTCTTGACTTTCACTTGCCTCCTTTTTTACTTAAATAAGAGTTTTCAATTAAATAGAGTTGTATTAACACTAATCCGAATCTACCTTATGCTGCTACCATTGCTTTTTTTTTCTGTTGTTCAGGCACTAGCATTGGTGGAGTGAGCAGTGTCTGGGGACATTACACCTAACTTGATAATGATGGTTTTACTAAGCCTTATCCTGGCCAGGCCTCTGGGCATTATACAGATAATTAAAATTTGATCATAAAAAATTTTTAAACACAATGCACCTTAGCAATAAGATTTTTCTACTTCCAAACATGATTTTTAAAACTCATTTTAAAAATACATTTCCTTGGCTTAGTGAATTTGCTTTCTTTTTTTTTTCCCAAGGATTACAGAAAGTGCATAGCAAATTCAGCCTTCAGAATACCCAGGAGCTGAAGACTCAAGTAGGCTACAGCTGTCTTCACCCACAGTATTCTAAAAGAACTAATGAGATGAGAAGTCTGCAGCTGGTGGCAAGCACAATAAACCATGAGCCAAGGGCTTCTCTTCATCAGAGCCTCCCCTTTCCCCATGGGATCCCAGAGGAGACAGAATACTAACAAAGCCAGCAGGCTGTCTCATTCCACACTATTGCTCATTTGCAGCTATAATTGGTAGCTGAGGTTGCATTCTGTATGCTGAAACTGTCATACATGAAGGAATATATTTGTTCATTGTGATACGGATATAAATCGGCCAGTTTTCAAATACAGAAAGACCAAACTAGACACCCAGCAATAAAACTGCAGCAGAGACACTATTCAAAAAATTAAATGTTTGTTACATTGAAGCACAAAACAGGTTGTTAAAAAAATCACACCCGCTTCTGCTTTTTAATATCTTGCTACTTAATTCAACTGATTAAACATTTACGTATTCAAACTATCATTAAAAAGCACAAAAATTCCTAGGTTTTGACAAGATGCATTATCCTCATCTGTCAAGGTTAAGGTGCTATTGTTAATAATTGGGTTTTGTTACATTCCCAGTGTATCTTTAGTGTTTGCCGCTTTGTATTCAAGAGAAAAAAGCAGAGGGAAGACCTGGCTTTGGAGATGGATGTATATGTATGTATGTGTGATATTTTATATGTACACACTCAAACCTAATAGGAAAATCCACTTTGGTCTCTCTGGTGCTGCTGCTGCTTGGCATTTTTGAAACGTGTTTTGCGTATCTGGCATTTGTGGGCACCCCTCCTCCATCTCTGTACTAGAATGAGCCCTGGTCAGAGAGTGAGGAGACTTGTGTTCAAGTCCAAGCGTAGGGGAGCCACACCACCTCCTTATCAGACTGAGGTGTCCTCATCTGTGAGGTGAAGCGGCTTGTGTGGTCTTCAGGGTGCAGTTCACATCTATAATTTTGTGACTCCATAGTTTAGAAAAGTTACCCAGTGAACAGTTAGCACTAATAATGAAGGTTTGGAAATAAACTTTCTGGAATAGTATATTAGGTCCAGAGTGGAGAACTTTTAAAGTGTTATTCCATGATCTTCATTCAGTTAATTAACCTATGTCAAATAGGTATTAAAAATCCCTGACGTTGTCACCCTGGTATGGAGGTGGGTGGAGTTAGGAAGGAGAAAGGAGTGTTGTCCAAAAGTCCTTCTAACCCATCCGCTCACATTTTCACGTTCACTGGTGCCATAATCCGTTATGCTTAGGTCCATCTTCTAGGGCGAGTCACCCCTTTAATTCACCTCTACGTGAAAATAATTAATGCTGACTGTAATTTAGACCAAGCTTGGTTTTCTGAAATTCATAGCAATTTTTAATTCTTAAAAATTTAATTAAGTTAAATTTTCCTAAACTCAGTACCTTGGTTTGTGTACTACCCTTTTGTATATTGCCAGCCTTACTGATACTTGTGCACACTTTGCTCTGTGGATTTTGTTTTTTCGGTCAGCATATTCAGAATCCACAGAGATAGTCCTGCAGTCTCTGTTTTGTCGGTTCTAAGATCCCCTCCTCCCTATATTTCCCCTCATATTTTAATATATTCAGAGTCAGGATTTTGTCTTCCAGTTGTGGCATGTTTTATTGGCTTAGTGTTTTCCTTTTTAATGGTACATAAAATAATGGAGCATTCTGTAACTGGCAGCCTCTTAAATTCAGGAAATGCGGTGTTTACTATTCAGCTTATGCCAGGCTCAATATCTAAGATTTTGTGAAAAACAAAGATAAAAACTTGAGCATCATGCCCCCACAGTAAGGTCACACCCCAGTGAGTAAAAAAGAAAAAAGAAGTCTTTTTCCCTCAAATGGGATGAGCTGTTACATGAACTGGCCAGGCCTCTGGGCATTATACAGATAATTAAAATTTGATCATAAAAATTTTTAGCACAATGCACTTTACCAATAAGAGTTTTCTACTTTTAAACATGATGCTACAACTCATTTTAAAAATACATTTCCTCGGCTGGTGTCAGCTGGTTTCAGTTCTGACCGTAACCCTTCTCTCCACTCTCTGTTGGCAGTTAATGTGTACTCCCTGGGGTTTCCGCTACCTTTTCTTTGCTTTCGCTCTTTCTTTCCTCCCAGCTAGACTGTAACTTTCTGGAAGCTAAAGCCAGGTGTTGACTTTCCTCATGTCCTTAGACCCCTTGGACTATGTCTTAGCATCCTGCGCACTGCATGGCGCACGTGTAGTGCACCTTCTGCCTGATGGATGTTGAATAAATAGACCTTGAGTTGAGGAAGATGATGTCAAAAGTGATTATTTGATATACTGTTGAATATTCTCAGTTTGGAAGAACAGTGAGCTTGTCTCTGGGTTTCCAAGCCTCTGACCTAGAAGAAAATGTGTTCCAGAGTGAGTTGGCCACCTATGTTGGCAGGGCAGCCGATTTCTCACTGTGAATCCAGGTCCTGAGACCACCTGTGCAGTTGATCCTTTTCTCAGTCTGCAGTGAGGCTGTTAGTTTTTAGGGTGCAGTTCTAAAGTGGAATTTAAGAATCACGTTAGCTGGCAGTAACTGAACTTTTTGCTGATGTGCCCAGACACACCAACAACCGAAGTTGTCCAACTCCTTGCCGTCGGCTCATCGCGGTTTGTTGTTGCTGGCTAAAGCCGACTGACCCAGTGCCTGTGGCTGCACTGTGTTGCGTATTTTAAAGCTGTAAGACCCAGGGTGGCCGGCGAGGCTTGCCCATATAATAATTTTAGCCCTTTGTGGGGCTTTTGTAGCTGCTTAGAAAGACAACATTTAGACAGGCTTCAGGTTTAGGGGTCACATATTTGCCCAATTGTTTTTAACGTTTTGTTGTCTACCTGAACCTCACATATTTCCTTCCTCACATAATTTATTTAAAACTTTCTCTTTAGGAATTACTAACATGTCATATGCATTTACTGAGGACTTTTGAGTCTTGATTGGCTGCTTCTCGGCATGTTTTCTTTGGTTTGTGAAAGTTTGTATTATGCTTTTGGAGCGTGTTCCCTGCTTGTACTGCCCTTATCTCTAAAGCAGTGATTTTTCAAATTTGACTTGTCTGGGCATTTTTCTCAAAGTATGTGGTCCCTCCACAAATGCTGTGAAGGACCCCTGGTTTAGAAATTCTGCTCAGGAAGGAAGGGGCTCTCCCTTTGTAGTGTTTTCAGCTGACCTCTGTTCTCTGTTACTACTACAGCTCATTTCTTTTTTTAAATCTGGATGTTAGC